TCCGGAAGAAAGAAAGTCTAAGTTGATGCCAAGAGTGGACGGACCATTCACTATCCTAGAGCGGATCAACAACAACTCTTACAAGATCGATCTCCAAGGTAAGTACTCAGTCAGTTCAAGTTTCAATATTGCTGATATCATTCCTTTTCACGCAGATGAAGCAGACTTGAGGACAAGTCCTTTTCAAGAGGGGGGGGGGGATGATAGAATCATGGAACCGATGGGAACAAAGGACGAGGTACAAATCGAGGTTCAGGACGGAGCACAAGACCAAGTGGCCGACCTAAGTGAAGATCAGGTCGGGGAACAAGACTAATTGGCCGACCTAAATGAAGTTCTGGCCGTGCCAACCGGACCAATGACCAGGTCGCGTACCAAAAGCTTACAGGAGCGATCCAACGAGTTCTCACCGATCTGAGGAGTCAAGGCCGAGCTGCCGACCCAACACCCGTTCATAAAGCCATGACCATCATCATGTACTCCGGTCCGAACTGACCTGGTTGGGGTGTTGTTTTAATACTCTTTTTCCTTACATTCGGTTTTGTCCCACTGGGTTTTCCGAATGGGATTTTAACGAGGTTAAGGCACACCCATCTCACGACCATGGTTCGATTCGTGGCCAAGTATAACGGCTAGGAGCTCAAGAGTCTAGCGAGAGGATGCGAAGGGTCAGCCGGAAGTCCGATAGTTATTCAACGTATCTTTTATTTTCATTTATTATCTTTAATTCTCTATGTAAGACCGATGGTCTCCTTTTGCCTCTATATAAAGGCATCGATGTACTCAGACTTATCATCACTTATCTTTTAGTAAAATTTCTCTTTGAGTTTTCTCTTTTGTTCTCTAAGAACTTATCGATATTTTGGTGGTTAGCCATTGATCGTTTTTGGTTTATCAAGTAGTTCCATCCTGCTTGACGCAGCTTTCGTTTACAAAGAGTGAGAGAGAGATTGTAGTCATATCTGGGGCTTAGGGAATTTTGGGACTTGTCTCACACCCTAACATCCGATATCGCAACCCCTTGTTCATCTTTGTCCATCCCTTCGTTTTCGATATTTTCTTTGGAATTGGGCATAAGAATATTCGAGCTTATACTCACGCCTTAGCATCTCTTCCACCGAAGCGGTCTGGACTCAAGGATCTATCAACCTCTACCGAGCCAAGTGTGTGACATTTCTAGGACAGTCTCTTATCAGAACTTAACAATTAAAGTAATTTATTTCTTTTTGTGGTCAATTAACTTGTAACACGTTATAAATAATCACACATTATTGTTAATATGTTCTATGTCAATACTTTACAAATATCACACAACATGTTAAAAATTATTAGATGGCACATTAACAAGTATGAAATATATTATTAACTCGTTAACAAATATCAGATGTTTTTGTTAGCTCATTAAGAAGTATTATGTATTACTGTTATTGCACTAATAAGTAGTTTTGGGCGTTTAGATATCCGATCGGGGTTTCAGGTTTATGATTTTAAACCCATTTGGGTATTTTAGAATTTTAGTTTGGGTTTGGTTTATATCCGATTGGGTTAGGTTGAGTTTTGATATCCAAAAAATTATAAAAAAATCAAATGTAAATTGGTAAAATTTAAATAAAATTTGACAAAACCTAACGAATATAACTAAAAATATTCATATATTTTGGTTATTTTGGGTCTTTCAATCATAGTATAAAAATAACTCATATCTTTAGATTAATAATTGTAATTTTAGATTATAAGTCTAAATATAACTAATATTTTAAGTATATAACTATATTTCAAATATTTCGGATACCTATTTAATTCTCGGTTCGAGTTTGGGTTTGGTTTCGATTCTTCAAATTTTGGAATCTAAGATCTATTCGGGTATTTTACCAGTTTCGGATCAGATTCGGTTCCTCTTTTTTGGGTCAGTTTCGGTTCAATATTTCAGGTGCTGATATTATGTCCAGGACTACTAATAAATATCGACTTTATTTTCTGGACATGAATAGGATCGCCAACTTTTGGCTGAACAGTTCCAGTGAAGGTTGCTGAACAGTACCACTGGTACACTCTTGAACAGTTCTAGTGAATCAAAGATCTGGACCGTGATTTTGAGAGTATTCATCTTTATAATAATAATGCTTCCCCTTGTCTTGACTTGTTTGTGACAATTCAAAAACCGTTGGCTTCTGCTTGAGATCCATCAAGAAAAACAAAAAGACAAGTGGTTTGATTCTGTTTTCTTATCTAGAAAAATAATATGGTTTGGCTCGTATTCTCTAGGGAGCAGCAATTGTTTTTTTTTTTTGAATTACCAAGAGGTTTGAATAAAAAGTCTGTAATCCTTTCGAATCCGAAACTATTGCATGTAAGATAATTTCATCCCAAGTATCATTCGATGGTATGATCTTTAGGCTTTGCTTACGACACGTGGTATCCATTGTTAAAACCAACTTGTTGGTTCTTCTTTACATTGTGCTTATTAGTCCGAAGTGCAATAATGCTTCATTTTAAATCTATGATATTTACCTATCTACTGGATTTTGAATCACGAAATTAATAAATTAAATAATAATAGACTAAGGGCTTGACTGGTTTAAACGCAGCGGTTGCGGTTGCGAGTGCGGGAATTTGCAGAAGCGAACGATTGCGGTTATAAGCGTTATTCAGCGGTTTGCACGACTGGTTAAATTTTTTAAGACGGATCCGTTTGCGGGATAATTTTGACTGGCAAACCAGCGATTGTTTTAGCGGTTAAACATAAAATAACTAAAATAAACATCATATATAATTTAAAAAAAAAACAGAAAACTATATTATTATGATTAATATCAAAATCAATAGTTTAAAATAATTAATAAATTATAAATAAATACTAGATAATTATTTTTAAAATTAAGAAATTTTATAATAATATGTTTTATTTCAATTATTGGAAACATCACCCAAAGTTGTGTCTAGTAATGTAATAGACTGGAAAAAATTTGCTCCAATATGTGGATCTTCTGGATTTGTCTTATGCATGATGTAAAATTTCTTCAACTGATCTAATCGATTTTTTACACGATCCCAACTCAAATCAACTCTAAATTGCTCATTAGTATTCTTCAAAATACGTTATTTCTGGAGTGCACTCATAAATCTAGGATATTATCTTGACTTTTTTTTTCTACAATGATCCGTTGAAATAACGCACATATCATCTTGTTTGATCATGTAACTTTATGAAGAACAAAAAAAAAGTTATAACAAACTAATTTTGTAATTAATAAGATACATATTTGTAATTTCTTACTTTAAATTTAAAAGTGGAAACAGAACAATTAATTTAATTAAATTAAACTAAAGTATTATGACACTTATGCTTGTATCTTAATTTTCTTCAACTGATATGGAAAGTCATGATTTTAGACTAGAACTTGATAGAAAAAGTGAGAGGTTAAGATTTATATATATAAGAGAAGATTAGTAGAGTTAGGGTTTTATAATTGTTTTTAACGTGATCTTTTTTTCTAGCGTAAATTTATTTATTTTTATTTTTGTACCCAACCGCTACCGCCCGCAATCGCAAACGCCGGCGGGAAGCAGCTTTTGGATTTCACCGAAGCGGTTAGCAGCGATTTCTATGATTGTGATAAAACGCCACTAACCGCTACCAACCGCAAACGCTGCGTTTGCGGGTGATAGCGGGTGAACCAATCAACACCTAAGTGGATACAGCTGAATTCGTTTTATCCATTTTATAAAAGGAAAAAACAGCAAACAAATGGTATTTAATATGTTTTTTCCATTATCTAAAATAATCCAAACTAGAAATTAAATGCCTATCCATTAAAATACATAGATAATAGAATAGGCATTTAATATGTTTTTTTCATTATCTAAAATAATCCAAACTAGAAATTAATCCGCACATTGTGCGGGGTAATATTTTTAAAAATATTTTTGGTTAAATTAAAATTGGTGAAAAAAAAATATATTTACATAAAATATAAATAAATAAAATTAGTGGCAATTAAATAACAATACATATATAAATATTACAGAACCGATATTTACTTATAAATAAATCATTGAATAAGATTTTGAGTTATTTTTGTTATGCGGTTTAAGTATTAGTAATTTTTAAATGTGAAAGTGATATGATGTTAAAATATATATATACTTATATACATATTAACATGGATTAGAATCTAAATATATATATATATATATATATATTTATAAAATAAGAATTTAATTGTGAATATTATATTAGAGATCAAACTATCATATTTAGTTAATGAATTCTTCTATATGTGTTAATAATGATTATATATACGATTGTGAAAATGGACCAATCCGTTTACTTAATCTATTTTGTAATTTACTAAAATATTTTTTTGACCAATCCGTAAAAATAATTGAATTAATTATAAAAATATAAATAAAATATTGCAAAAATTTAAATAGATTTTTCCATATATATGGATTGATTATTATTGAAAATAATAGAATATATGTTAATATTTTAATAAGTAAAAAAACTAAATACATTTTTGATTTATATCCATATATATTTAAAACAAATCTGTGAGCTCTATATTTATATATTTTTTATGAAAGAGTATTTAATTGAGTTTTCTATATTTATAAAATTTATTTATGTAATATCATATAAGTTAAAGTTTATTTATGTAATATCTTATAATTAAATGTTCATTTATGTAAAATATTTTGTAATATCTTACAAATAAAGGTTCATTTATGTAAATGATTACTCAAATAATAATATAGAGATATTTATCAGAGATTAGGCATCTACTAAAGAGTATATTCTGCTCTCATAAACACATAATCCATTAATTGTAACATAATCCATGTTGGTGGGAAAAAGAATTAAAAAAACACAACTATACTTGAAATAAACATATAAAATATATATTTAATTTGAAACAGAAATCTATGTTTTGACTTTTTTTGTTTCCTTGACGTTCTGATATTTTCTTGTCCAATCTTATGCTACAAACCGTAGAGAAATGGCGCAACATATAATTAACCAGCGTCCAATCTCAAACCGTCACATCTCTCGCCTTTGTCGCAAGGGTTTCTTCCTCTTCCTTTTCGCTCTCCTTGTTCTCCTCGGTGTATTCTTACCTTGGTTAGGATCTCCCTTATTGCCATTTCCATACAAAACCTCCTCTTCTTCTTCTTTTCCTCCCTCGCTCTCGTATTGGCGCGAGTATTCCTTGACGCAAGCCACCAAGTTTGTCGCTAAGAACGGGTCGACGGTGATTGTCTGTGCCGTTAGCTATCCTTTCTTGCCTTTTCTTAACAACTGGTTGATTAGCGTTTCTAGACAGAATCATCAAGAAAAGGTTCTTGTGATCGCTGAAGATTACGCTACTTTGTACAAAGTCAACGAGAAGTGGCCTGGTCATGCTGTTCTCATCCCTCCAGCATTGGATTCTCAAACCGCACAAGATTTCGGTTCCCAGGTATATAGTTTCACCTTTTCGTTCCATAATTCCAGATATAGCCTTAGCCTTCATCTAGACCTTGGACATGTTCACTGACTAGCTAGTGTTATTTCGATTTTTTCTTGATTACTTGGTTCATAAGTTTGTGCATTAAGAAGAAACGACTTTTTTTACATCGTATCAGAACCCAGTAAACCAAAATGGTTATACCGATTAAAAATAAATAAAAAATCTGTTAGAGTGAATGAGTCAAAAGGTCATAATATGGAGAGTGTCTGATAAGATATTACATCTGAAGTTGAATAAATCAAGACTGAATGTATAAAGAGTATATGTTAATTCAGTCATTGTATATTGGTTTTGAGTTAGAAAGAAACTCATGATTTTTTTTAATATAGTGCATGTTTCTAAATTTTGATCATATGTGCAAAGAACTGGTAATGTGATACAGATCCCATCTTTTTAACTCTTTTTCCATCTTCCTATTAGGGTTTTTTTAAGTTTACATCTCGGAGACCACAACATCTCTTGGACATTTTGGAGCTAGGTTACAATGTTATGTACAACGATGTTGATATGATTTGGCTGCAAGATCCGTTTCAGTATTTAGAGGGAAACCACGACGCATACTTCATGGATGACTTGGCTGAAGTATGTGAACATATTCACACAGCCACTTTTAAATGTCTGCAAGATTTCGGTTTTTTCATTATCTTATTCTCAATTTTTTTTTTTTGGTGCCTAGATAAAACCTGTGAGTCACTCCCATGATTTACCACCTCCGAATCGAAACGGGGCCACATACATATGTAGCTGCATGATTTTCTTGCGTCCAACTAATGGCACTAAGCTTCTAATGAATAAATGGATTGAGGAACTTAAAACCCTATCTTTGGCTAAAGCTACTGAAGGAAATGATCAACCTGCTTTTAACTGGGCACTTAACAAAACAGCTCATGAGGTATGTAATTTTACTTCCTCCAGTTTCACAGTAACTTTTTGTAAATTTTCTCACAAAATTTAATTAGCCAATTATTTGGTTAATTATTTCAAGCTAAAAATGTTCGTAATCTCACATCAATAAATTAAGATGGGAACAACACAAGTATGTAAGAGATATGTATCAATCCACTAATTGTCAGTTAATTTTGAGTTGCAAACCTAACATTAAATCTCAAAAAACTCTGTTACAAGTACACCTCGGAGGTTAGGACCTACAATAATTGTATATAAATGAGTGAATCTAGTTTTGAACTGAACGTCCACAAAACTTCATATGGTATCAGAATATAGTTTGTTGATACAAGTAAACAACCAAAATAAGGTTCACTGTCGGTTTTAGAATATGACTGACAAAAAGACATATTCTCAAGATCACACTTCAAAAGTCAATTGAATATATTTGGTACTCTGAGATTCTAGCTCTATCCTCTAACCTACGCATGAATGTTTGACTACGACTTATATATGTTATAGAATTAAGAACTCAGATTAAGAATAAAGTAACTTCTTTATTAGCTTTAGAAAATAACTCAAAACTAAAGCTTCTTAATCTCTCTCAAAACTCATAAGGACTACCACAACTTTGGCATCTCTTATATAGAGAGTAGATTACAACTCCTAATCCTATTAGATAAAACAACTTTCCTATTCTTAGATAACTCCTAAGATTATTCTTAGATAACTCCTAAGATTATTCTAGATAACTCTTAGAACTTTCCTTTTCCTAATCTCTTTAGGAAACTTGGTGATCAAACTTCTAGCAAGCTTAATCCAACAATCTCCCCCTTAAGCTTGAAATCTTCTCTTGACAAGTCTTGGACTCCAATAAGCTCCCTCATTTCTTTGAACTTAATCCTTCCAAGTGCTTTCGTTAAAATATCTGCCTTTTGTTCTGTTCCAGAACATGTTCCATCTCGACTTGTTCATTCTCTACGCATTCTCGTATAAAGTGATATCTTCGGTGAATATGCTTGCTTCTGCCGTGAAATACAGGGTTCTTTGTAAGAGCTAATGCAGATTTGTTGTCGATCCGAATTGTCACTTTTTCACATGCTGATCCCGAGACTTCTCCAAGAAGTTCCTGCAACCAAATGGCCTGTTTAGCAGCTTCCGTAGCTGCCATAAACTCTGCTTTGCAAGACGACATCGCAACCGTTTCTTGCTTGTGTGAACACCAGGGAAATTGTTGAGATAAAACATGTATCCTGCTGTGCTCTTCCCATCGTCTAAGTCTACATTATGAGAGCTATCGCTGTACCCAACCAATCTCAAGCTAGTTCCTCGTCGAAACGTTAAACCAAGTGCTAAGGTGCCTTTAAGGTATCTCAGAACGTGTTTGAGAGCTGCACCGTGAGATTCTTTTGGTTCTTGCATGTATCTTAACAACACACCAACACAATATGACATATCAGGTCGGGTATGTAGCAGATACCGTAGACATCCAATGTTTCTTCTGTAATCTCGTTCATTAACACCCTTCTCTTCTTGTCCTTTCGATAATCTTAGGCCTGGATCCATTGGTATGTGTGCGGCATTACAATCCTTCATCCCAGCTTCCTCTAAGATTCTTGATGCATAACTTTCTTGTCTACGTGTTATCCCATCTTCATGTTGCAAAACTTCGATCCCAAGATAATAAGTGAGCTTTCCGAGATCACTCATTTCAAATTTAGCAGCCATTCCTTTCTTAAACTCCAAGATTGTATTCAAGCTTGACCCTGTGACCAATAGTCATCTACATACACAGCGACTATGAGAAGATCCTTATTGACTTGCTTCCGATATAACGATGGCTCCTTATCACACTTTTTAAAGCTCAGTTCTTTAAGAATCTTGTTAAGTTTGTTGTTCCATGCTCTTGGACCTTGCCTTAGTCCATAAAGTGCCTTATGTAACTTGTAGACTTTATCTTTGCTTCCTTCGATCACAAAGCCTTCAGGTTGAGAGACATAAACTTCTTCCTTTAATTCACCATGGAGGAATGCGGTTTTTACATCAAGATGATGCACTTCCCATCCGCTGGATGCTGCTAAAGAGATGATGAATCGAACTGTTTCGATGCGAGCTACTGGAGCAAAGACCTCGTCGAAATCTATTCCATGTCTCTGCACATATCCTTTGGCTACAAGTCGTGCCTTATGCTTGTTAATGCTTCCATCAGAGTTTCGCTTTAGTTTAAAGACCCATTTAACACTGATTGGCTTTGCTCCTTGTGGAAGATCAACTAAACTCCAGGTTTTGTTCCTTTCAATGGAAGACAATTCATCTTTACAGGCTTCTCTCCACTCTTTTGTTTTCTTTGCTTCTTCAAAGTTCCAAGGTTCTTCATTTATAACCATCAGTAGTTGTTCACAATCGATCTCTGCAAGACAGACAAAGTCATTCAAGTATTCCGGTCTTTTGTTCTGTCTTGTTGACCTTCGTAAAGGGCAAAGGCTTGTGAGCCTGTTCTTGTTTGACGTTTTCTTCTTCGAAATTGTCCTCTGTTTCGAAATTTCCTGGTTCTGAACTTGATATATCCTCATCGAGTTCTTCCTCTTCTTCGGTTTCGTTCTGAGCTCTGTTATCCCCTGTTTCCAGGACAATTTCTTCTTCTCTTATTCCATGATTCCCAAATTCTTCAAAACTTAGTGAGAATTTCCCTGGTTCTGTGTTGTTTCCTCTATATGTGTTGCTCCACTTTCATACTTTATCTTCGTCGAACACTACGTCCCTGCTCACAATAAATTTCGAGACATCGGATCCAAGAGACGGTATGCTTTTGTACCGGGTTCTGTTCCTAAGTGAACCAAGATTCGAGATCTATCATCGAGCTTTTTGAGATGAGGCGTCTCTATCTTTGCATATGCGATACATCCAAATACTCTTAGATGTTTAATGTTAGGTCTCCTTCCTTTGAAGAGTTCGTATCGAGTTTTAGCTGTTAATGCTCGAGTTGGAATCCTGTTGATGAGATAGGTTGAATGTCTAACCGCTTCTCCCCATAGGTAATTTGGTATACTCATGTGCTTTAGGATACTTCTGGTCATCTCCATCAAAGTTCTATTCCTTCTCTCTACAACACCATTCTGTTGAGGTGTGTAAGGGGCTGTTAAATGTCTGTTGATGCCTGAAGCTCCGCAAAGGTTTGAAACTTGAGTGATACAAACTCTCCTCCTCTATCCGTTCTAAGTGTCTAGATAGTGGTTCCTGTTTCTTGCTCCACTGCTGTTTTGAATCTCTTAAATTTTCCGAATGCCTCACCCTTTTCCTTTAAAAGAAGCAACCACATGTAACAAGGGTAGTCATCAATTAGCACAAAGATATATCTGTTTTGTGCGGCTGTTGAAGATGTGCTCGGTCCACAGAGATCCCCATGTATCAGTTCAAGCTTTTGAGTTGCACGGAAGGAGGTTGCTTGAGGGAAGGCTCGTCAGGTTTGTTTTCCAAGAAGGCATGAAGTACACGTCTCCTTTTCTTGTGGTAAACTCGTTATTCCAATAACTAGTTCCTTCTTAACCATCATTCTTATGGTTTCTGAATTCGCATGTCCTAATCGCAGGTGCCACTTTGAACTTTTTGTTGTTAAAATCTGTAAACATCTAGTATCTTCAACTTCCAAGTGCACCTTGTAAAGACGATTCTTTGATCGATTTGCTTTTACCACAAGCTTTCCTTCTTTGTCGTATAAAATCAGGTAATCCTCCTTCATTCTCAATTCACAGCCAGATTCAGTAGCTTGACCAAGACTTATGATGTTGCTTTTCAGGTCTGGTATAAAGTAGACATTGTTAAGAGTTCTTTTAAGGCCATCCTTGCAGAAAAATACGATTGATCCCTTCCCTTTTATATCAATTCGTGAGTCGTCGCCAAACCTTACTTTCCCAGTGACTGTTTCATCGATTTTAGAGAAGCAATGCCTATTCCCAGTCATGTGTTTACTCGCACCATTGTCTAAGTACCATACTTTGTCTGAACAAGCATCAAAGTTGTCTGGTTTCACCCTTTTCTCATTGAGAAATACCGTCTCATGCATCAAAAGCTCTTCTGCCTTTTGTGAATCATCGTCTTCTTCCTCTTGTGTTTCTTGAAGCTTGAGCAATCTATCAGGAAATACAGATTCGTAGTGTCCTATCTTATCACATCGATAGCAGACAACTTTGGATTTGTCTCTTTGTTGATTTCCAAAGCGGCCTCGTCCTCTTCCTCTTCCAAACCTCCCTCCACCTCTACCTCTTCCTCCTCCTTGAGCTTCTTGGTAGTTTTGTGTGGCTTGGGAGTTTTGTGAGTCCGCATACATGAGCTTACCCTGTTCCTCCTGCGAGTCTTCTTCTTCAGAGGTTCTTTCTTCATAGGCTTTCAATCTTCCCACAATATCTTCAAAGCTTGTTGTGTTAAGGTCGAGAACCTGCTCTAGGGAAGCCACAATATGTATATATTTCTTCCTTGGCAAGCTTTTAAGAAATTTCTTCACAGTCTTTGCTTCTTCAATGTTTTCTCCTAGGGCTGTTGATTTGGTAGATATCTCTGAAAGTTTGCCGGCAAAATCATCGATTGTATCGGTTTCTTTCATCTTTAGTCTATCAAACTCAGCCATCAGTGTTTGTAATCTTGCTTCCTTTACTCGATCAGCACCAACATGTCTTGTTTTAATTGAGTCCCATACGGCTTTGGCGGTATCGAGCTCACCAAGACGAAGGATCAGTGCTTCGGGTATAGATTGGAAAAGGAGGGCACGAGCTAGATCATTCTTTTCTTCGTCTGCTGATCCAGGTTCGATGACCTCCCAAACTTTATGAACCCTAAGCGCCACCTTCATCCTCATGGCCCAGACAGTGTAGTTAGTGGTGGTTAACATAGGATACTGTATGGACGTCTACGCACCTCCTTCCTTCGTTTTTGTTGCTGCGACAAGATCACCCATAGCTCTAGTGATCTTTTGTGATTACCAGGTTTTTAGAATTTTGGCTCTGATACCAAATATAGAATTAAGAACTCAGATTAAGAATAAAGCAACTTCTTTATTAGCTTTAGAAAATAACTCATAACTAAAGCTTCTTAATCTCTCTCAAAACTCATAAGGACTACCACAACTTTGGCATCTCTTATATAGAGAGTAGATTACAACTCTTAATCCTATTAGATAAAACAACTTTCCTATTCTTAGATAACTCCTAAGATTATTCTAGATAACTCCTAGAACTTTCATTTTCCTAATCTCTTTAGGAAACTTGGTGATCAAGCTTCTATCAAGCTTAATCCAACATATGTTTCACTCTTAAAGGTAGTTTTCACTTGTTTGATTCAATTCTTAAATTTTTTTTATGATCTTTATGTTCTGTGCAGGTAGATGTTTACCTGCTTCCGCAAGCAGCTTTCCCATCAGGGGGATTGTACTTCACGAACGAAACATGGGTTAAGGAGACAAATGGGAAACATGTTATAATCCACAATAACTACATTACCGGTTACGCCAAAAAGATGAAACGTTTCCGCGACTTTGGTCTATGGCTAGTCGATGATCATGTTTTTGAGTCCCCACTAGGAAAATTACAGTAAAATTCGAAAACACATAAAAGATTGTTCGTCTCTCTCTCTCTCTCTCTCTCTCTCTCTCTCTCTCTCTCTCTCTCTCTCTCTCTCTCTCTCTCTCTCTCTCTCTCTCTCTCTCTCTCTCTCTCTCTCTCTCTCTCTCTCTCTCTCTCTCTCTCTCTCTCATTCTTGCTATCTTGAGATCAAAACTAATTTCAGTTATTTGCATCATAGTAATTTATGTGTACTGATTCATTTTTTTTATATAATAACATATATGTGTAATGCTTTTTTAAAACAAGAGAAAAAATTGTTTTAAAAAAATCATTACAATAAAAAAATCATTACAAAAAAAACAAGAGAAAAACAATTCTATATTTCTGTGTGATGTATTTCTTTGGGTGTAATGATATTTTTAAACAATATATTCTTTTTTAATATTTCTACATCAAACGGTATAGAATTTGGTTCTCAAAAAATCTTATATATAAAAGCTGTTCAATCATTGAAAATAGTGACACATGTTCAAAAAAATTATTTCTACTATTAATGCATAAACAAATTAATTTTGATTATGTTAAAATATTAAATCATCAGAATAATATAAACTAAATTCAAATTTAAATTAAATATCACAATGTATAAAAAAATTTGAGAATTCAATTTTCTCTACTCTTTTTTCTATGTGATTTATAAATATTTTTTACTTAACAAAGATAATTTATTTAAAAAAAAGTAAAGAAAAAAAATAAGTAATGAAACCAAAAATGAGAATAATAGATTAAGAAAATTTTAAACAAATGAAGAACAAGTTTTTTAGAGTTAGAAAACCACAAAACACAAAAGAACATTCATTAAACAATCAAAAATATAATAAATTATCAAAAATAAAGAGAAAAATGACAAAATAGAAAAAAAATATGATAACAAATAAATAGAATCGATGAAATATGTGAAAACAGAACATGAATATAGTAAACTGCAAAAAGTAAAAACGATCAAAAAAAAAATTTATGAAAAAAAAGATAAGTTAAAAATTTCAAGCAACTAAATAACAAATTTTGAGATTGTTAGATTGTGATTTCAAAATGATTTCTAAATTGAAATTTCAATAAACAAGTTAAAAGATAATATATAGAAAAAATTATTAGGGTCATAAAAAATATTAAGGAAATTATAAAAAAAAATTGATAGTTAAACTAGAAAACTAAAAATATAAGTAAAACAAAATTACAACACGGTGCAAGTATAAATTAAAAAAAGGTAATTTTTTAAATTATTTTCAACATGGTGCAAGTACAGCCACTTATCATAACGTGTAAAATTGTCTATATACTAGATGAGTATCCACGCATATGCGTGGGTTTTCTTTTTAATATTTTTATAATGTTTAAAACTAAAATTTAGTTTTATCCTTAAATTTTAGTTTATAATTTCTTCACTATATCACACATCTCACGTCTGAAGAATTCAAATGCAAACATTCTAGCAAGAAACGCTTGTGTTCACCTACAAATTATTATTTACATAAACTCGATATCTCCGCTTTGGGTAACCGAACCGTTTTATGTATCTAGACTGTCGATCAAAAACAAAAAAAAAACTGAAATTTAATTTAGATTTTTGGTGATGTTAAAAAAAAATCTAAATTTTTGGTTTTTTTGGACGGGCCATATATATGTTTAGAGAGATTAGTTGTTAACTTATTTTTTTAAAGTGATTTTGTTTTAATTAGTTTTTTTCTCAATTTTTTCTTTGGTTTTATGAAATCTTATCAGAAATTTTATCTACTAAGAAACGTTGTCTTCAATTAAACATGGAAAATTATCTTGAACATCATAAACAAAGATATGAGAATCCAGCAAATACTAAATATTATGATTAGAAACCTAAGAGGTATATTCTCAAAATAAATGGATAACTTTATTCCATAAAATTTTCTTATTCTCATTGGCAAAGACCATCACAATCTCCACTAAAAATAGAAATGTTAGGAAATGAATATAGCATGAAAATCTGTGATATTTCATACTATATATTATCTTTTGCATCATAAGTAGAGTTTGGAACTTTAGATAAGCATGACCAGGTATCGTAAAAGCTTACCAAATACGTCTTTCTCCATTTTCACCATCAGATTTGGCTTCTGCCGCTCCAGTGGCTTTTTATTGCAGTACTTGGGAGAACCAATACTCCAACTCCAAGATCTGATGGAGATAAAACAAGCTACATTTCATACACATAAAATAATATAAATTATATTTATCTTTTCTCCACAAAGATTTCTTTAATTATAATTCATTGAGATGAGATTTTTATCATTTCTTGTAAAAACATAGATATTACAAAATTTACTAATGGATGTAATAGGTCTTTCAGAGTATTATTTTTCTCCCTTAAAATTTTCTCTAAAACAAAAATAAATAGAATATATAACTTACACCAGCTTAACTTAAAACAAAGTTTTTAGAAATTATTATTATAACTTCGTCGCCGAATTATTATTGTTTTAGAAATTATTATTATAGCTTTTTCTTGCTATTTACTCTTCACAGAATTCTCGAAACCATCATACAAAATCTTCCTTTTTAAAGCAAAATTCTTCTTTTCCTTTAAATGAACACAAACGATGGTATTAAATGTAGATGTCTCTGCCCATGGCCAAGAAATAAATCTTAGACCGAAGATTTGTGAACAACATTCACTTTCGTAAGCTTCTATATAGAAATTTGCATAAGTTACAACGTGGAAGCTGTAGATTAGAGATTTATTAGAAAATCTTAGGTAATATTTACTTCTTTCCATGTCTTCTCCTCTATATTTGCTGATTATTTTTTATGCGTTGAAACATGAGTGACCAATATTTAAAACAACGTTTGAAGCATCATTAAGAATAGAAAGCATCAAAAATAGGAGTCAAAAAGCCATGAGGCTCATGATGGTAAATAAATCAGTGCACAGAAAAATGAACATAAAAGTAATTAGCTTAAATTAATTAGAGTTTCACTATAGTTTTTAAATAACAAATAAATGAGCTGATGTGTCATTCAAAGGAGTGCTTATGTGTCAAGTTTGTGAGATTCAACTAAATCTTTATATAATAAATTATTTATTTCGATGATATTGGAGATGGGTAAAAAAAAAAGAGTAAACAAATATTTAAATTAACCAAATGGCAAACTTACTGAGAAACGGACAAGAGAAAAATATTTATTTATATGGTATACAATGACAACATTTACTAAACTATTTGATTCAAAATCAATTAAGCACATGACACAGACGTGACATCAACTCTAAGTAGATTTCTTTTTATTTGTTTATTGTGATGAATCATCTTCTATTCATACAAGCCATTGGAACCCACGATCTTGGTTAATGTACTCATTTCTTGGATCGTTGAACTTCGTAATAGAAAACCATTTCCGCAAGCCCCCCACTCAGTTTTCGCCTTATTGTAAGGTTTTATGTACACATATACACAACATCAAACGTCAAACCCAACATAATTATGTATTAAAAACACATATATAATAGTGTAAGTTATCTCTTAACTTTTTATAAATTAATAAAAAATAATATGGAGATTTATTATCTCTACACGTTGTCATTCCTGAAATAGTGTCGCTGACTTTTTTTTGTTTCTCATATGTTCCCATTTTCGAGTCTGATTTCAACTTGTGAAAATTTCCTCACCAGTTTTGTTTCATCTCCTGCTACAACAATGGCGCAGCAGATACAACGTTCAATCTCAAACCGTCCCATCTCTCTCCTAAACCGCAACGGTCTCCTCCTCCTCCTCCTTCTAGCCCTCTTCGTTCTCATCGGTGTATACTTACCTTTGTCAGAATCTCCTTTATTCCTGTTTCCAAACAGAACCTCCTCTTCTTCTTCTTCTACTTCTTCTCCTTCTCCTTCTTTCACGATCTCTGACTGGCGCGACTATTCCCTTGCTCAAGCGGCTAAGTTTGTGGCTAAGAACGACACGGTGATCGTTTGTGCAGTTAGTTATCCTTTCTTGCCTTTTCTCAACAACTGGTTGATTAGCATTTCTAGACAGAAGCATCATGAAAAAGTTCTCGTGATCGCTGAAGATTACGCTACTCTGTACAAAGTCAACGAGAAGTGGCCTGGCCATGCCGTTCTCATTCCTCCAGCATTGGATCCTCAAACCGCACACAAATTTGGTTCCCAGGTACACCGAGAGTTTGATCACCTTTTCGTATCCGATGTCTATCTCTAGCTTGAGATCATATGAGATTGATCCTTAGATAGATATTGGATGTTCATTTATTAGCTAGTGATATTTCAGTGATTATTCGGATCATAAGCTTGTGAAATGATTTTGTATCCCCTGTTTTGATCGAATTTTCGAATGATTTTTGCATCCCCTGTTTTACGGTATAACCGCTTATGAGCTCTCCTTTATGCATTTTGGTAGTAATTCCGTTGAAGCTACAGCTATAACCACAATGACGTGACTCATTGATCCATTATAATCAGGGTAGAAGTTAGCACTGGGTATTCGGAGTTCTGGGTAGAAACTGATTGGTTCTAGGTATTTCGAATAGGGAGGTTTAGGATCCATATAGGTACCAAAATATATTGGGTTCGGTTCTAGTTTGGTACCAATTGGTTTCAGACAGTTTGGTTCCAAGTTTTAAGAACTGGTAAATACCTTAATTTTTTAGATCTTAATCGGTTTTAGACCTTGTGATATTTAATTATTTATTATATCTAAAAATCCGAAAATACGAAAATACACCTGAAAAAACCAATAAAAAAACTTTAGAAAATATATTTAAAACCCGAAAATATATTTGGAAATCCAAAAATATATAAAGAAAAACTGAAAAAACAAAAATATTATATCCAAAATAGCAAAACTATATCTGAAAACTTGTAATATATTTGATATATATATATATATATATATAATTTAGGTAATTTCGGGTACCTATCAATTATCAGTCCGGTTCTGGATACTTCCAACACCCACAGGTATCAATGAGGAGAAACCATCAGGTATTTTGGACATAACTGAAACCAAATTAAACCAGTTATTTTGGGTCGGTTCCAATTCAGTTTTTGGTTCAGGATTTTATATTCAGGCCTCGTAGTGGCTCTATATCAATATATCGTCATTCTAGTAAGTATTTTTCTTTCTAAGAGGTGGAATAGAATAATCTGGCTGAAGCTGTGCCGATTACGTTTGTAATGCATTGCCCATACTAGGTCCTATTCTTCTAATATTTCTTCAAAACAATTTCAAGGAGTCGATGACTATTCATAACTATTATATTGATACCAAAAAAAAAAGTTCGACCCAATGTAATAACCTACGCAAAGAACTTGTATGTTGGGATGTGAATAATCCAATTTTCTAACAAAATTTATTATATCTGTATAGGGTTTCTACAATCTTACATCTCGAAGGCCACAACATCTGCTAAACATTTTGGAGCTAGGTTATCATGTTATGTACAATGATGTTGATATGGTTTGGCTACAAGATCCGTTTCAGTATTTACAGGGAAGCCACGACGTATATTTCATGGATGACATGGTTGCGGTATGTACCATGACTGCACCTCTTGCATTTTAGTGTTTGTATTTATCCTTATACTTGGTTCAATTTTGGTGCTGCCAGATTAAGCCTTTAAATCACTCCCATGATTTACCACCTCTGAGTCGAAGCGGAGTAACTTATGTATGTAGCTGTTTCATTTTTTTGCGTTCCACTAATGGTGCAAAGCTTCTAATGAAGAAATGGGTTGAAGAAATTCGAGCTCAAACATGGTCTAACATCGAAGCAAAGAAACCACATGATCAGCCTGCTTTTAATCGGGCACTTCACAAAACAACTCATCAGGTATGTAATTACTTCCTCCAAGTTCCACTGCTAGGTTTGATGATATGACAGCTTAAAATCTCAAAAAAATGTTTTATGATTCTAGATCAGAAGTTTTAAACCAATCCACTTGTTACCAATTGATTTTGAGTTGGATGTCCATGAAATTTAACATGATATTAGAATCTAGTTTGTCAAGTCAAAATCAACTGGTCTAAATAAGATATATTATTGATTATAAAGTGTAATTCAATTCAAGGTTGGCCGATGAAAGTTATCATCTCGATAACACATATTAGGACAACACCTTAGAAGTTAAACTATTTTTTTTAGGTACTATGACATCCTAACTTTATCTACTCATAAGTCCTCTGATGTACTTATGAATGTTTGACTACGACTTTCAGTTCAATCTCAAAAGGTAACTTTACACTTGTTCGAATTCAGGCTCAACTATTTTGTGATTTTCAATTATGCAGGTAGATGTCTTCTTGCTTCCACAATCAGCTTTCCCATCAGGAGGATTGTACTTCAAAAACGAGACATGGGTAAAGAGACAATGGGGAAACATGTCGTAGTTCACAATAACTACATTGTCGGCTACGACAATAAGATGAAACGCTTTCAAGACTTTGGTCTATGGCTAGTCGCTGATAATTCTCATGAGTCACCACTGGGAAAATTAGAGTAAAATTCGAATGCACCAAAACATTCGTTCTCTCTCTTTTTATTGTTATCCTGAGGCTAACACATAGTATAACTTCGTTTTGTTACTCAGGTTACTTCAAGAGCAGAATATTGAAGCGAAAAAACAGAGGAGAGGAGCGAGAAAACAAAGGAAAAACAGGGGTTAGAAACTAAAGTTACTCTAGAGAGGATTTTCTTAAATACAACAAGTATAGGATCTTGAAAACGTTCCACGTAAATTTATTCAAACTCAATTATTATAGAGAAAATTATTCAAAACTAGCCTTCGAATGTATGAATGTTATTAAAATAATCTTGTGTAAAGATGGGATGACTTGACTTCTTTGGAAAGTTGCCAAAAGACTTGTAAGCGTATTTTTATAGTTTATATTACGAAAATCCCATTTAGTTACTATTTTATTAAAGGGAAAACTCGGTAAAACAAGTGACATCAAGAGCAATGGTGAGAAACAGTGTGAAAGAGATCAAAGAAACTGTTTGTGGCCTAATAATTTTTTTTAAAAGGTTATTCAATTAAAATGAGAGTAAAAATCACAAGCTATCACGTGTTAGTCATACAGTTTTGAGAAGAAATGATAGAGAGAGAGAGAGAGAGAGAGAGAGAGAGAGAGAGAGAGAGAGAGAGAGAGAGAGAGATCGAATAAAGCAGAGAGAGAGAGAAGAAAGCAGAGAGAGAGTGAAGTTAGTCACTGATCTTGACGGCTAAACGAAGAATTTTTGACTTCTTGATCTGTTGAAGACCAGAGTAAACGGCGGCGTTTCAGCAATCCCAACTGTTGTTTTCCGAAGCCCAATGGCTTGAGTCCATTACTCCATTAGATCGTACAATGGTTATTTTTGAACGAGACTTTCATACTTCAAGATTTGAAATGTCATTTGCATGACATGATGAGACAAATTTGTGTATTTAAAGCTGAAGAAGAAAATCAACTACCAATTGTTGATACAAGTACCGTAACATCAACTGCAAAGTCTCAATCTCCTCGTATATCAGGCAGACTCATCAAACATTTGCTTGATGATTCAATTCATATGAAGAGGTATATCAAGAACCCAAAAATAAGATCTCTCATACTTAACGAGCAGTCTCAAGGGTTCTATTGGCTGGCTTCATGTTTACATTTGACAAGGTTAATGAGGACTTTAGATCTCTCTAACGTCAAGTTTAAGGGAAATAAGTTGTCCTCTTAAGGTATTGGAGATATCATCCACTTGAGATACTTGGAAAAAAAAAAAACATTCCTGGTCCACTTGAGATACTTGAGTTTATATCAGGCACATGTGACTCATCCACCTGTTTCCATCAAGAAACTAAAGTCACTGCTCTAACAGAATGTAGATGTAATTGTGATGATGAGATCTCCAATCTACATGTTCGATTTTTGAAGGAGTTGCGAGAATTGAGATACCTCGCTTTATTGTGGAATATACAAGATGAGACAAAGTTGGAATTATGTAAAGTAATCAATTTGGAGAGACTTGGGGATTTCTCAACAAAAGCATTGTAATGTCATAGATATTTACTGTATGACAAGGCGAATGTGTCTCTCAATCATATTCAACGGGAAGAATGTATTTTGAAAACTCAATTTTCATTTTTGGGACAACTGAGGCACCTGGAAAATCTTTATATTAGATAATCTTTAAAGGCTGGTTTCACAGGAAGGATAACGGGTCTTCCAAGCCCACTATAACCCAATAAATTGGTTTCAATATTTTTCAAAAGAAAAAAAATTTTAAATTTTTAAATGAAAATCTTTTTTTATATGCAGCTTTACCGCGTCTTATCCCTTTGAAACTTTCAGCCGGTAAAATATTCATGTCTGAAAACTCTAATATACCAACAAAACAAACATTATATGATTAGACTAATTAATATAACTTGGAGTTTAATTTATTGATAGTTTAACGAAAATACAAACACTTTCGTAATGTACCATAAAATTATTAGTCAAAATCCAAATACTTATACAACTACCAAGGCATAAGTAAACAGTATCATTTAGTGACACCTTAGGCGCCTCCTTTTCCCAAAAAGAATCTTATCCATCTTCCTCATCAATTTATCTTCATTAATTCCTACCCCCCTCCCCCTCACAGTTAAGAAGTCATTGTCGTTTCGTCGTACATTATACTCCCTCTGTTCAGAATTATTTGATGTTTAAGGTTTTTGCACACAGTTTAAGGATTCATTTAATTTTTATTTTTCCTATACTAAAAATATTATTTATAATTCATTTAAATATCATTCAGCCAATAAGAAGACAATCTGCAGAATATAAAAGGTCAAAAACTATAAAAATTCATTAAATTTTGCATTGAAAAATGAGAACATCAAATAATTCTGAACAAAAAAAACTTTCTAAAACATCAAATAATTCTGAACAGAGGGAGTATTATCTCACAAACTCCTAACAAAGAAAAAAAATTATATTAAAACAGAAGAAGTTGCTTCCAAACATTTCCAAATTTTTTTAAAATAATTTATTTTACAAATAAATTTAATTCTAAAAATTAATTATTAATTTAAATATTTTTAGATTTCTTTAAAAATATAGGTCATATTTAATTTAAATTTCAAATTATTTGAAATTTATAATAATTAAATTTAATTACAAAATTTTGGATTCAAATTTAATTTAAAATTCAAAAATATTTATAATTAAAATTTATTATGAAAATTTATATAATAATTTTTATAATTTAGTATTCCTTAAATACATGTTAGATATAATTTAAATTTTAAATTCAAATAATATTTTCATAATAGTACATAGTAAATAAATATCTTATTATATTTTATCATAATCAAACAGTCTAAAATATCAAATATTTAAGATTAATAAATATGTATATTATACAATAATATGATGGAGCTGATAGGGTTATATATTTATACTTAAGGTCTATGAGTTAGTTTATTAAAACATGTAAGATATTAAGATGATTTGAGACAATTAAACTAGCTGATAACACCGGATTTTGACCATTTTTGTGGATCACTTTAATATCTTTTATAGGTGTTTTTACTCCATTTTCAAAGGTTTTCAAAGGATTTCTATGTTTTCGGATTTTAAAAGACTTTTAAGGTAATTTGGGATAAAGAAGCACAAAATGGAACAAAAACACTCTTTTGGATAAATGCAGACCATCAGAACTCTCATGGAGAGACGAAGACCTTCTCACCGTCTGATCACCATAAAAATTTGACAACTTATAGAAGAATCAACCAGCTTTCAAATGCACTTGGTTTGGAGACATTCCAACGGTTGGATCTCAAGATATTCCATTAGCCCCGGAGCCACTCGAAGTCGGCCAACAAGTCACGCGACCGCGGCCAACAACCTATTTGCCGCGGTCAGAAGCTTCCCGACCGCGGCCAACAAGCCAATCCCCGCGGTCACAACACATCCGACCGCGGCCATCAAGGTCCAAACTAAAGCCCACATATCTGAAGCCCAAATTCATTCTCAGCCTCAATTCCGGAACCCTAGAGACCATGGAGTATTGGAGACTATAAATACATGTCATTTAGGTCGTTTTTAGAGAGCAACTCATACTTTACAGAAACCCTTTTCCTTTAGCCGTTTTTTTTATGAGATTTTTGTAGAAGATTGTTCAAGTCCGAGTACTTCAATAGAGAAGCTTTCTTTATCTCTTTTCTTTACTGTTTTTCATTACTTTTATTAAAACCAATGATGATGTCGACCTCAGCCATGTCTGAGTAGATCCCGAGTTGGGCTTAGGGTTCCCGAAAGGGGCTCTTATAATCGATTAAGACATCTAGGTTTATAGATCTGGGATTTCGACCTGTTCTCTGTTTATTCTTGTTCTTATTGCATGTATGCTTGATTGATCACCTAGTATCTGATCTAGATAGTTAGTGTTGTGAAAGTTTTCATTAAGTATCAGCCCTAGAATGAAACAGGCAATTTTTCCGTAGGAGTGGAAACCTACCTGAGGCGAGATCGTGAGTATTGACGAGTTTTGTGCAGCTCTTGCGTTCTCTCCCTTCCAGGGCCAGAGTGGAAACCTACTTGTCAGGGTTGCGAGAAATAGTTGGTTATGATCACGACAGTGACGTAGTCATACCGCCGTACTCTAGCTCTAGAACCCATATATCGTTATCTGTCAATCCCAATCTATCTACCTTAGTGTTAAAACCGATTATGATCCCTTAGAGTTCCCAAAAGCTCAGCGTTTTTAGCCATAGTTTACAATTCCATCGATTTTTATTTGCTTATTTAGGCCTGCATTTCGATTTCCTTAGTTCGTTATTTACTTGCTTTACTAGTATTTCATTCGATATTTTACCTGCCTTATTAGTATTCATTCGATATTTTACTTGTTCTATTTGCCTTTCATTCGATTTCTTTACTTGCTTTCTAGGATAGATTTATTTGCTTTCTTTTGTTTTAGTTTAATTCGTGAAAAACAACCAACCTTTAAAAACCAATCTAGTCTAGACATAAAGTTAAAAACCGTAGAAGAATATCAGGCACACAAATCTCTGTGGATTCGATCTAAACAAAAAAATAAATACAAATTATATTAAAAATAAGAAGATAAGAAATTCATGTGCGGATGCACGGAGTTAGAATCTAGTATATTGGTTAAATTAAAACCTTATTCAATTTTTATATGCGACAAATAAATATATTATATATATTATAACAGATATATCTATTTTTAAGAAATAGGTTATTTTGGGCTCAACATAATAATCGTTAGATTTTAGTTCGTACATATATTTATATTATCAGAACAAAAATACCTTTTGTGTCCTAATAAGGTATAGTTAAAGATGTTTTTATAAAACAAAAAAATATTAAATCATAGTAAGTTTAAAAAAATTTAAGTTGGAAATATCAAACCAGATTTTGCAAAATTGTTTCAATTCTGCTAAGTTTTATGGTTTTGACTTAAATCTTAAAAAGTTATGTTTTAAAAGTTACTAGGATACTGGTCCACACGCATGTGCAG